CAACAGTGATTACAATAATACTGTCACATGTGATCAAAAAGGATAAATCATAATCAGATTTGTTATTTCTACTGAAACAAGGGTAGTAGATTAGGTGGCAGAACTTAATTTGATTCATTTTATAAGACTGCCAATTTTTTGTATCTTTTTACACAAGCACATTCATAATCATACAGATTATTTTATTTCCGAGGACCTAATAATAATTATTAAATGCAGTAAATTGTACAGTAAACGTTTACAGATGTGGTTAATGTATGGGTGGTACAAAAATATGCTGTTCGTTAGTGGCACAAAAGAAAGGTGGTATAGCCTCCTATATATCCCGTCTGAACAGATATTAATGATACATACAATCAAGCCCTCACTGTACACTATCTCTCTTCAGTTCTGGCAAAGGCCAACATACCTTACCAGCCAAGAGGTACAACCAATTCCTCATTTGATGATAAATCACCAAAAAGATCTACAAATGGTATTTACAATGTCCATGTTTAAAACAAGATTTGGATTTCTTCATGTAGCTTAATTTGGTGTGTTTGTTCATTTTCTATACAATCATTCCATTTTAGAGTTAGTAACCTATAGTAATCTACTGAAAGTTAGATTAACACATATACAGGGAAAACAGGTAAATGTTACAAAAATGTCACCTCATCCCCATTAACTGCTGCTGTCTCCCACACCTGTTGCCACACCCACACTGGCTATGGTCAGCTACTTATATATACACTGCCTTAGTAAATCTTTAACAGTACCCTCGTAACTGATTTAAAAAATAAACAAATTGATAAATAAGAACTAAAAACATTCCATGGTCTACCTTGTCAGTACAAATGGTGATTTGTTAGCCTTTTATAGGGTGTTAATAGGTATAACACATAATATTACCAAGAGCAACACACAGAGATAGAGGGAAATTGACACTTATAGAGCATAATAAAAAATACCAATACAGCTACTCCTACCTCATATTTAACGTAAAATTATAAAAATATCCGCTGCAAAAGACCACTCAGAGACTAAGCCAACAACAACCTCAAACAGCTAGAGGTCTTAATGTCATGTTGTCTATAATTTGGCACAGGGGGTTTGTGCCCCCTTTCTAGGGAATAAAAGGTGGGAAAGGTTAGATTTGAATTTTTAGGTTCGCACAATACCCATATCTGGTTTCGGGACTTCATCTTAGAAGGATGCTCCACTCTCGTTAGCAGATATCGGCACAACTGCTACAGAAATCACTTTACTCTAGAACACTATTGGGTTGGACGTATGGTTTTAGGCTTTGCATCACAGGTCACAAGTTACGTGTTCTTCCTGCTATAATTTAGAGAAAAGCTTTGTTTTGACAGCCACTCTGGGCTATTGTAGTGTTTAACCAAAATAATTATTTAAAAATATGTGTATGTGGACATCTCCATACATATAAAAGAAGTAGTGATGTTGATACATAAATGATGTAGTGT